GACTGGCCAGGCACCCCAGTGGGGACCCCCACCCTGAAGGGGGTGTGACCAGCTGCAAACAGCCATCAGCCCCTCACCCAGGCTGGCCAGGCACCAAGCAGGACCCCCACCCTGATCCGGGACACCCTTCAGGGCAAACCAGCCGGCCCCCACCCATGCACCAGGCCTCTATCCTATATAGTAACAGGGTAATATGAAAACTGACCCTAACAGCAGAAGAACTGGGAATGACTGGTCACTATGACACACACTGACCACCAGGGGGCAGACGCTCAATGCAGAAGCTGCCCTCTGGTGGTCAGGGCACTCTCACATGGGAGGAGCTCTGCTCAGCCACAAGCCAGGCTGATGGCTGCCAGTAGAGTGGTGGTGGTGGGAACCACTCCTGCCTCTTCAGCAGCCCTAAGGATGTCCTACTGCAGCTTAGGTCTGCTCCCCACTTGCAAGTGGACATCCCCCTAGGGCTGCCAGGCTGCCAGAGGAATGTCTGATTGCCAGCTTAGGCCCAATCCCCTCGGGAGCAGGCCTCAGTCAGCAGATGGTCATCCCCCGAGGGGTCCCAGACTGTGAGAGGGCACAAGCTGGGCTGAGGGACCCCCCCACCCCCCGCCCGCGAGTGCACAAATTTTTGTGCACCGGGCCTCTAATATATATATAAAAGCCTAAGCAACCTGCCGATCAGCTAACCAGATGACCAGCCTGTAGCTATGACATGTAATGACCACCAGGGGGCAGATGATCTGACTGGTAGTTATGATGCACACTGATCACCAGGGGGCAGACGTTCAATGTAGGAGCTTCCCAGCTTCGGTGACTTGGCAGCTATGGTTCTCAGGTGATGCACCTGGAACCAGAGAGGAGGGAGCCTGATTCCGAGGTGGGTCACCCAAGAACTGCCCTCTCATAATCCGGGACCCATTAGGGGTTGTTGGAAAGCTGGTTTCAGCCCAATCCCCGCAGGCCAGGCTGAGGGACCCCAATGGTGCACAAATCCGTGCACTGGGCCTCTAGTATAGCAAAACTGTCATGGGCTGAAATGTGTCCCCACAAAATTCATGTTAAAGTCCTAACCCCCAGTACCTCAGAATGTGCTGTATTCTGGAGAAAGGGTCTATATAAAAATGATCAATTGAGGTCATTAAAATGGGGTTTAATTCAATATGACTGGTGTGCTTATAAGAAGAGGAGGTTAGGACATACAGATACAGAGGGACATCCATGTGAGAACACAATGAGAAAACAGCCATCTACAAGTCAAAGAGAGAGACTTCAGAAGAAACCAACCCTGCCAACACCTGGATCTTAGACTTCAGACTCTAGAAGTGTGAAAAATAAATTTCCTGTTGTTTCAGGTACCCAGTCTGTGTAGTACTTTGTTATGGCAGCTCAAGCACACAACATTGTAACAAAACCAAGGGAGTAACTCTCCCATAATATTCACAAGTTCCATTCATATTCAAGGGGAAGGGAATACAAAGGCTTGTATACCAGTCAGTGGGATTCTTGGTGTGCCTATCACAGCTGGCAATCCCCACCATATCCTTTTTTTCAATTCAGATGGAAGAAATGGTTTAACTTCTCCTGCTTGTTTCATTTTACTGATTTTTCTATTCCTTTCCCACTCAACTTTTAATCTTACTTCTAGTTGGTTCAAGGTGTGTTGGGAGGGAAGAGTGAGCCAAGAGCACAGGATGAGGACTGTGTCTCTAAGTAGATGCAGAAGAAATACTAGGGGGGAAAAAAAGTGTAATTCAGTCAGTCTGTCCTACATCCAATTTTTAGGAAAGAAATCCTATATAATAAAAGGCTAATATGCAAATAGACCGAACAGCAGAACAACCTAACAACCAGTGCTATGACATGTGCTGACCACTAGGGGGCGCACGTAGAACCTGGCAGGCATCGACCGTGGTGGGATGGTGGAGCAGGTGAGTGGGGGTGCCGGTCACTGTCATCAGGGTGAGTCTCTGGTGGTTACTGAAAATTCTTTGCTCCTGTGTGCTGCAGTCCCACCCAGCACTCTCACCTGCTGCTGGCATCGGCCCCACTCGCACCCTCTGCCAGCACCGTCAGCATGTGGGAGCGGCAGCAGTGGGAGCAGGGCTGCAAGCAGACAGAGGACTGGAGGCCACAGTGGGAGGGGCCAGGTGGGGGCATGGAGGATGGGCCGAGACCCGCCCTTGTGCCCACTGCCGCCTCACAGCCTTTCAAGGTGCATGAATTCATGCACTGGGCCCCTAGTGGAATATAAAAATGTGAACAGACTTCATTTTTCACAGCCCCTGAAAGATTTCCATTTTCTACTGTGAATGTTTTAAAGCAAAAAAATCTGGCCATGTAACATTCATTTTTGTTTAAATACAGTACATATTTCTGTAGTTTACACATAGCCGAGAAAATCAGATTCTGTTTCTACTCTTAATTCTTTCTGGTTTTCTGCATAACAGGCCAGACCTGATGGTGTTGCTGATAATTACACAGTCACACAGCAGAGCAAGGGCAAGTGTTCCTGGAACCAGCTGCAGGCTGCCACTACATTACTGTCTTCAGAACATGTTTTAAGTGGGATCCTAGCTGAACGACTGCAGTTACATTCTGTGAGACCTCAGTAAACAGGAAAACCCTGGGCGCCACATCCACAAAGAGCACAAGCAGCTACCCTGCTACTTTGCTGTTTGCAGGCCTAGAGCATGTCTCCCACATATCTCAGTGTTTCCAAAGAATCCCAGATGCCTGGTAAGGGGTGGGGGTAGGGAGTGATTGAGAAAGAATGTGTTTGGGGCTTCAGAAAAGAATGCAGAGTCCTGGGAACAGAGAGCCACAGGTACAGATGGGAGAATTTGATGACTCTCCAACTGTTTCAGTCTTTTTCCTGACAAAAATCTGGTACAGAGGGACTGTGCTGATATCTTGCCTGCTTATTAGGGGCCAAGCCCTCACACAGCTGTAAGGTCCGCTGGAGGATGGCCCTGCCCTTGGCTCTGTCTTCTCCTGACACTGACATTCGTTCAATGCCCCAAGGTGCATGCCTCCCATCCCTCCATTCATATATATGTCTATATATACCTACATATCTGTAGCCTCAGCCATATCCATATCTCCATACACAGTAAATGCAGGTACTTCATATTGCCTTATTCATTTAACAAATTTGTTGAGCCCTGCAGAGAACATTGCTGGTAGCCTCCCCAGTATCAAACCCCTTTCTCAGGATGGGTACCCAGTGGCCTAATTTAACCAATACGATCCCCAAGTAATTGATTTGGAACTGGGCACTTGTCCACATATAAACCCAACAATGCTTTGGCATTGCCTGACCAAAGTGATTGTTTCACAGGTGGGCACATAACCAGAATTGGGCATATAACCTGAATTAATTCAAAGTAAAGTCCAGAGGGTTTACTCAGTGGTTAGTAACTGTGGTGTACTGATTGAAGCCCTGGAATAGCTGCAGCCATTTTGTCATCATGGTGATGGGGGTGGGGGAGGGCAGCCTGAGGACTTTGTCAACACATTGAGAAGCACATGCAGAGAGGATCATAGAGAAATGGAGCGGGAATCCTAATTAAACTGTGCCCGTGGGCTAGCCCCATCTCTGGCCTTTTCCCTTGTATAAGCCAGTTTGAACTGCATTTTCTGTTACTTGCAGTTGACTAAAACAAGTGCTAAGCACTGGAGATTCTGAGGTGAACAAGACAGTGCCTACCCTCCTAAACTTACATTTCAGTGGAGGGAGGTAGACAAACAAATAAACATGATAATTTCATCCAATGTTACATATTGTGAGAGACATTAGGGACTTGCAACTTTCGATTAGGTGGTCAGGGGAGCTCCTGTGGGGAGGTGACATAAGACTTGTGACCAAAAGGGTGAAAAAAAGCCAGCCCTGGAAAGATCTGGGGGGAAGGGCACTGGGCAGAGGGAACAGCCAATGCAAAACTGTGAAGTAGGAGTGAAGATGGGAGGTTTAATGAAGTGGCCCCACTTGCAGGCTGTGTATGAAGTCTGGATCTTATTCTGAGTAAGACTGGCAGCTATTTGGAGGATTTTGAGCAGAGGTATGGCATTCCTGATCTAATTTTTTAGAGAATTTATTGGAGTGACATTGGTTAATAAAATTATATAGGTTTCAGGTGCACAATTCTATAATACATTATCTGTATATTTTATTGTGTTCACCACCCATCATCTCATTCCATCACCATTTATCCCCTTTACCTTCTTCTACCTTCCCCAACCCCTCCCCTTTTCCTCAGGTAATCATCATACCACTATGTCCGAGTTGTTTTTTTGCTTAATCCCTTCACCTTTTTCACCCAGCCCCTCAGCCCTCTTCCCTCTGTCAGCTGTCAGGCTGTTGTGTATGAGGGTTTCTATTTTGTTAATTATGACCTACTATTTGCAAAGGCAATTCAAACTGCTTTGTGGTGAAATGACTACAGGAGCAAGAGCAGCAAAGAGCAGTCAGAGGCACCAGGCAAGGAATGAAGCTCATCTAGACCCAGATGGTAGCAGTGAAGATGGCAAGAAGTGGACAGGTACATGGAGTGTTAGAGGTATTTGAAACCCACTCACCCCTAAATAAATTTTTCAAAAAGCCATGGGGCAAGGAGCTGCTTTCTTTTCCCATCGCTACACACATTCTGATGGGCCCATTGCAGATGGAGTCTACCAGCCCTTCCTAAGTACCTCCCAGAGATCCCCACCAGTTTGAACACTCTGCTCTACATTTACGACATAAAAGCATGCCCTTGACTCTGTTCATATTCTATCCTATATAATAAAAGCATAGTATGCAAATTGTCCCCTCAACTGGGAGTTCGACTAGGGGGCGGGACAGGCTGGGGGAAGTACCCAGCCAGCCGGCAGCCACTAAGGACCCCACCAGTGTACAAATTTCGTGCACTGGGCCTCTAGTATGGTATAAACAGAGAGGCAAACAAATGTTATGAAAACAAGTTTAATAAAGTTACTATTAATTGAATCAGGACACATCAAAGTGGCATTACAAATACCTTTTTAATGACAACAGATGGCAAATTTATACAAATTACAGGCTAGAACATAATGAATACAAAATCCATCCAGATACCGTGTAAAAAAGCATTATATAACAGAAGCAAATCTGATTCAAGTGGCTAAAGAACTCAAGCCCCCCATTTTGATAATTGCACACAGCTTTCAACGTTAGTACATCTAAAGCCTGCCCCTGGTCAGGGCACTATTCAAGACTACAGCATATTCAATGACTCTAATGATTTAAAGATTCTAACACTTTTAAGCATTGATGTCTAGAGACACCAGGTAAAAGGTTCACTATGCAAAACTCAAACAAGAATATGTGAACGTTCTTTGCAAACTGTAAGGTGCTGTGCAGATGTTGTTAGCTATTGCTATTATTACTGTTCAGTGAGATTTCACTAAACCTGAGAAAAAGGAAGACTAGTCTGTGTAACTGACAAATATGACTTGTACAACATATTAAAAGGAAGGCAGATATTACTTTTAAGTACACAAAGCAACAAAACTGGCAAGAAAAGTGTGGCCAGGAATGATGGTAACTTTAGGAATTCCAGACTATTTTAATAAATATATAAGGGTTTAAGCTATTCATAGGTTACAAGTAATATTTATCATTAGGTTCCCCAAGTCCCTGAAAATAAGTTATTTTCTCAGGTGACCCTTTCCACTTGAAAAAAAGAAAGAAAAATATTGTCAAGTTATTAATATGCTTTTTCAGTCCAGCTCTTGTAAAATTTATCTTAAATATGAGTTGAGTCTGAATTAATAAAGTTATACTTCTCTGGTGGAGGATGCAGAGTGCTTGATGGCAGAGAAATCCACTGCTGACCTAAGAAAAGTGACAAAGTCGGCACCATAGCTGAATCATTTATAAAAGGGGCCTAACAACACTCTACAACTTCACTGGAGCATGAAGCAATAAACATGAACTGGTCTGGAGATAAGAAATACACACTAGATATGGTTGAAACAAGATTTCAATCCTGTGTTTCATGTACCTTCAGCTTCCATTGTTCCTTGGGCACTCCTAATTTAGCTGTTTTTTATTGGTCTCCTTGGGTACTCTAGATATATACATACATTTATGTGAAAACGGAAAATAAACATCGAACAAGTCAATCAGTTGTCTCTTTTGGCAAAGCTGATGAGATTTTTATGGTTAAAACAGTCCAATTATTACAATGCATTTCAGTTGAATTCCCAGGAAACACAGGTGGGGTTTTTTTAATGAAAGGTTTAAATTTCCTCAGTAACAACTCAAAACTGAACTTTGCTGCTACATGTAAAATGATATCCTCTTGACATAAGATGCATTCTACAGCAGACTTTTCAGTTTTTAGCACAATGAGGAAACGAGATTATATTCTGGAGGGGGGAGGGGGAGGAGGCAAAATGGAGGTGAGGTGAGAAAGGTAATGTGTTACAGTAAATGGGGTTAAATCAGTAGCTTGTACTGACATTCAAGTTACACTTCCTAATTGAGGTTATTCTTATTAGTTTTCAAACAATAGTGAACATATTCCTATCTTAAAACATTTATAAGGGCTCAATTGTAGCTTTCCTTTTTATACATCCTGAAGTATGTACACTGTGCAACAGAAAACCAGTGAAAAATAAATCTATATGTCAAATACCATGTTATTTCAACAGCAGCACACTAACGAGATAACAGTTGAAACCCCAGGAAAAAATTAAAACTGGTTTGAAAACAAGTCTATACTATAATAATCCTAAATATTAACACTAGCATGAAAGTCTAAATTTCAAACACTTGGTACTTTTTCCAAGAGGAAATTACAACTGCTTGAATCCCTGGTTTAAATACTTGCAGAAAAATACCCACATAATTATCTACTCAGCAAATGTCTGAAATAAAACAAAATAATGCAACATTGGACATTAATATTTTACAAACAGCATAATATCCCAAAAGTACAAGAAAACATTGGCATTATAGAAAAAGAAATTAAGCGGACAACAAGTCTAAGTGCAACATGGCATCTAAAAGTGGGGACCATCTAGAAATCTACCACATAATACCCCAGACTCAAACAGGGGCATTCTACAATTTTATATTAAAATTGTTCAATTTTATACTAAAACTTTAGTCTTTTTTTTTTAAGAAAGCACTTTACATTTAGAATAACTGCTTATAGAAGACATTTAAACTATAGACAATATTTAACTCTAAGCAAGAATACAATTCTGCATTAAAAATAGGGGTGAACAAACAAATTGGTAATGGCAAACACAGCAAGAGCCACTGATTAGAAATTAACAATAACAGGAAATTTGAACAATGATATACCTACTTGAGACACCTACCTGAAAGAATAAAGGTACAATGTAGTTTTTTTTGTTTTATTTGTTTTTTAGAAAATGGCCACTAATCACTCATAAAAAAATGCAAATAGCTGTCAGGAAAAGTTGGCGGAATTTGAACTTAATCTAAACTTTTAGTGAGTATCGAACTAGCATTAAAAAATGCATACAAGATGTAAACCAAAGTAGTGGTTGTCTCCAGGTGGCAAAATTACAGGGTACTTAAATTTTCTTCCTGTTTTTATATGCATTTTCTGGGTTTGTTTTCAGATTGCATACAAGTAGTACCAAGTGGCTAGAAAGAACCACAAACTAAAGATACTAAAATAAAAACACAGGTCTTTTTCTGTCAGAAAGGGACTCAAGAATTATCTAATTATATATATATATATATATCTGGGATATATTGACTCTGATTGAAAAGACTAGACTAGAAATCCCAAGAATACCTCCTGGGTGATAAAAACAATCTATTTTCAGAATTGTTCACATTCCCTAAGTATGCAAAAATAAACATTTAAATGTAAATTCCTATCATATACAGTATTAAAAAACAGTAGGAAAAACAAATTTAAAGGTAATTTACACAAACCTGGTAATTAAAGCAAAACTTCATTGTTGAACAAGAGCAAAACAGCTTATTAAAGAGTTGGTCTGAAAGCACAGGCTGGCCTGCAAGGAGGCAGCTAGCTCTGCTTTGCTCTCGAGAGCCTTCAATAAACCAGTTCGTGTAAAATGGGTGGAATTCAGCCTAGTTTCCCATGAAATAATGTAACGAAAGGTTCCTATTGACTAGGGATTACACTTTCTTTGAAATTTCTCAGTGACATTCAGAGTAATTCCAGCATTAACAATTTAAGCAATTTTCCATAGGAATTTACAACGCAAAATCCAATGACCTGGTACTTTCATGATAGTTAGGGAAAGTACTTCAACAAAATATAAAGTTTAGATTTGCTTCACTGTGTACCTTATTAATATATCCAGAAAAGTAACATTCAAAACCAACTACAAGAAAAAATGCTATAAAACATTTTTGTTGTAAAATAATCAAATTCTTCCCAGAATAATGTGTAATTAAACATAATTATTTGCCACCAATTTAATTTTTCCAAATTTTCATTTGCAAATGAGAGGCTTATAGTTAAAATAGATGATGCAAACCACTGTATCAGAAAGATCAAAATTTACACTAGTCAAATGTGACTCCTTAAGATGGATTTGAACATGTTCTTTCACCATTATTGAAATAATTAGTATCCTGGATGCATTTGCCATTTTTAAAACAATTTAACACTATCAAAAGGTGATGTTCACTTTAATCCTGTTTGCCTTCACGCCACTGTCGTGAACCTTCATTCCAGGCCACATAGACAAAGAGGGCCAGCACCACGTGGACAGCAACCACGGCAACAATAGCAGCATAAAAATAGCTATCCCTATTGGACATCCCAAAGGCACCTATCAAGAGATAAAAGTTTTCATTTTATTCCAAAATGTATCACAGTACAAAAAAACAAAGCATACTAATTTTATTAGTTATACTAGTATTTAATTAATCAGGGAATTAAAAAGTAACACTTTGGGTGGTCATAAAACAAGTATTCATTTAAAGATTTAAATACCTTCTTATACACGAAAAAGTATTTTGAATGAGAACTGTAATTATCACTTCATCTAAGGGCTCTGACACAAAAAAGGGGACTTTATTTCCTCTTCCTTCCAATGTCTGCCACCAAAGGTACATTCCCCCAAAATCCCTCCTCCCATGTCAGCCAACTTTTACTCTCAAAGGGATATTAAAAGGATCTGCAAGCTATTTCATAGAAAACCATAAATTATTATGATGTCAAGCTGAAACAACTATGAGTGATGAAAATATTCATTTCATGAAGTAGGACTCATTCAGAGCAACATTATATTTGAAAAGCAAAACAGATGAAAGAAGCAAACTTAAGAACACCCGGTCATAAAGCACAGAACATTAATTATAGTAATATGTCTATAAAAATATGATTACCTTCAAAAACATAAGATTTAGTGGTGAAATATAACCCAATAGGTACAGTGATCATTAAAGCTGTGAAGAACAGTAGAGTCTTCAGGGTAGATGCCAATGAACTCTCATTTCTGGAATAAAGTAAACAAAGCGAAATCAGAACCTGCACAGCCACTTCCAACCCTTCTTGTGTCTATAAACACTATAAATACTCACAGAGAAGACTCTGGAAACCCTGCTCCTGCCTTGGAAGCAGTGGCCAGAGGAAGAGGAGCACTCAGGTACTCAAAACAAAGATCTTAGAGCCCCAGCTGCAGGCCCATCTCCAAGAGACTGTCATTCATATCCAGTGTAAGAGGAAGTATCAAAGTGTGAAAGTAGTTTGTAATCTCCAAAGTGCTATGCAAATGTACACTGTAATTACAGAATTTTGGAGGTAGCAAGGGAGAACATACACAGAAAACAACTAATGGCTAGTACAAACAAGGTATGAGAATCTCCAAAGAAAAAGAAGTCTAGAACAATCTGGATGCAACTGAGGAAATTCACTCAAAATTTGTTTGTAATTAAATAACTATAATACAGTTTAGATGGTCTTCACATAACATGGATGCATTAAAAGTTTGAATGTCAAAACACTTTCTCATTACTGAATTCTATCTGTCCACAGATTATTTTAAAACCAAGGAAATATTCTAATGGAAAAAGTTTTGTTCCAGAATACAATAAAACTACTCTGAAGAATGTAACTAAGTTTTAAAATTATATATATATATATATATACATATATATTTATTTAAAGATTAATAGAGCACAAACAAAACTGGATAACATAGAAATGTCCAATAATAGGAAAATGATTTCACAAATGATGTACATCAATATATGGAGACCTTAAAAAAAGAACTTTTACTATTATTCACAAAATTTTCATGTGACAAATGAACAAGGCAAATTACAGTGTATTATGTATGTCAGGGGTCTACAAAATAAGGCCTGAGGTTCCACCACTTATTTCTGTAAATAAAGCTTAATTTGGACACAGATACACCCATTTGTTTATGTATCATCTAAGACTGCTTTGGAGCTGCAAAGGCAGAACTGAGTGGTAGACCATAAGGCCTTCAAAACCCTAAAATATTAACTACCTGGCCCTTTACAAAAAAAGTTTGCTAAGCCCTGATGCTGTTTTACTGACCTTTTAATGTCAGCATTTGTCCTATGCATTACAAACGAGCAAAACTATTGAAAGTGAGCTGCAGTAAGCTTCTAGCAACCCTGAACACATACACACCACCTGATTAATTAGAAAAGTTCAAACCTATTGCTTTAATCATTAGTTTAATTAAGGTCTTTTTTTCTCCTTAAATCTAACCATCCTCAGAGTACTTAACACACTTCTTTTTGCTCATAGTCAATACCTAAATGTAATTCTCTTTCTAGTAATCCTCAGCTAGAGGCTCATTTTTATGTGTACCTTTAGGAAAGAGACAGTCCAGCCTTCAAGGTCCCCCAAAATAGTCTCCCCTCCTTTCCTGATTACACCCTGGAGTCATTGCTCTGGGATCCAATCACACTTTGTTCATACCTCATATGACAGTTTGCTTCCTATATAGTCCTGCACATCTCTCTGTATAACTAGAAAACCCAGGCAAAGGCGTTCTTAAAACTGAATATACAATTAACAGGAAGGTTTCTGACAGCCCCAAAAGAAAGGGAACATCACAAGTTTATTACAAACTTTTTGACTGTGCAATCCATCATTAACTAAAAGTTATGAGCGCATACCCCATATAGGCATTTTGATGTTTTAAATAAATTGTTCATACACATATTATTAACAGTCTTTAAAATATAAAACATATGCAAAATGGATACTAAAAAGATATTAAGATTTATGTAGAAGTTCTAATATTTTCTTTCCTTACTTTAATAGATCATCTTTAAACATTTAATTTAGCATTTAACACTTTGGTGATCACTATACAATTCTCATCTAAAATGCATGAGCTTCCTTAAACTGTTTCCTAGTAGTAAATTTTTAGAGGAATTTACTGTGTAATCTTCATGAAGAATATGAGTGTCTGCAGTAGTTCTATGAAAACACAGTCAACATTTGGCGTCTTTTCGTAGAGCCTCCAAAAAAACTTGACTTTCAGGGTGTTTCTATAGTGTGTTTTAGTATGGGTTTTAGGGATGTAAAGTTCAGATTATTTAACTTGATAAAGAAACAAAGCTTAAGAATCTAGAGAAAGGGCCAATTAACTGGTTCTCTTGTTCTTTAGATTACTTCCCTTAAATATCTATTATCTGGCCTGGCTTTGAGAAAAGGTTATTATTGAAAAGAAGATATAATACCATAAAAATGTTTTAAAGCAAACAAAATCACTTCTAATTCTACCACCCATCTTTTATTTTCTGCATGCTAATTTCTAGCCCCACACACTCCACATATAACATATCTTAAAAATTTGTAGTTTATTGTCAACTCATTTCTCTTTACCTTAAGCTCCCAAAATTTGACTCTTATTCTGGGTTGCCACCTCACAAATATGGGACTAAGTATAAAGTTAGGCATACAAAATTTTGGAAACTAGCAAACTTCCTCTAGTGCTTAGAGGACATTTTCTCCCTGGCTTCCAGCTACAGCCCACTGCAGCTGGTGGTTCTGCTAGCACAAGCCAGCTTGGGTACAACCAATGATTTATTCTAAAACAAAGCAACTGATGGCATTCAACTGATTTCTCCTGTGTGTCTTTGGGTGTTACTGACTTGTTAGAAAGGAACAAGGTGTAAGTCCAGAATTAAAGTTGGTCTCACACAAAAGAAATAATTCGGGGTGAACCTTATTGTGCCCCACTTTTAAAACCACTTAAGAGTTTACCCCCTTCATACAAACTTCTGCAGCAAACACTAAGCAGATAACAGAGCTTACAACGTCCCCTTTTGTGGCAAGCAAGACTTCTACTAATAGATTTCACTGCAAATTCCATTAGGAAATACGAAAACCAGTCTAGAAGGGCTAGAGTATATTTTAAGTGTACTTAATGAAAATATCTGTTCATATCCTTACTAATAAACAGTAATAAAAAAGAAAACCTAACCAACACTATATTGACATTGTGAGGGGGGGGGGGGGAAAGCGCACAAGCTCCAAAAATAATGAAATTTAACGTCACAGTGAGCTAGGTCGAATGCCAGCTTCGACACTTAACTGTGTGGCCTAACTGTGATATTGGGCAAGTCACTTACCCTGAGTCAACTTCATCTTCCTTAAAATCAGGAAAACCAAGTACTTTCTTAATTCTGATGATGTTTGTAATAAAGCACCTATGTTGAGCTTGGCACACTGTAGGTCAGCACTGAATGGTAGCTAAATCCCTTCCCAACCTATTGCCTACCGAGGTACAGAGGTATTGTTGGCTGGGCTAGTTGGCCAGAACCACCTGCTCCCTTAAACTCCTTCTGTTCAGCCACCATCCCCCCATCCTACTGACTCCCTACCAGAAGCAGTCTCACACCAGGGACAGCCCTTACTCCCTTCCATTCATTTATGCAGCACTTATTAAGCCCCGTTGCAGGCCCTGTAGGGGACACGGAGATGAAGAAGGCCGGGGTCCTGTCCTCAGGGGGCACCCTGTAGTGGGGAAAGAGATTGCAGACAGCAAGATCGCAATATAGACGACAGTGAGAGGAAGTGCTAAGACAGAAGGAAGAGCTGTACGCCCGCCGGCCTATATCGTCCCATGACCCCGGTTCCCTTGTTCCCGAGCGAAGGGCCGGGGCCAGGCGTGCAAACGCTGCTGGCCCCAACCTCCTTCCCCGCTCCCCCACCCTACAACCGGGCCCCGAGGGTCCAGACCTCACACCCACCACAGGCCGGCCCGTTGGGCTCTGGCCTTCCCTCTGCCCAGCTCCGGGCCGCTCAGGGCCGCGCCAGCCCGGCTCGCGGTCGGGGGCCCCCTGCCCGGCCAGAGCCCCGCTCTCGACTACCTGACGTCGGGCAGCTGCAGCGCGTTCAGCGCCGCTTTATCAATGCGCTCCATGGCGTTGCCACCCGCAGCAGGTCCTCGCAAGCGGACTGGGCTCAGCGGCCACTCTCAATTGGTTCAAACCGCGAGCGGTAGAGGCAGGCCGCGACGGAAGTGCCGGCAAGCGCAGGGTGGCGGGACGCTGCGCGCGTGCGCGGCGCGCTGTGGTGACGCGAGTTTCGGCGGGCGCCGGCGTTCACGTGACTTACCGGCCGGGGTTCCGCGGCGTGCGCCCCGGTGGGGGCGCCCCTTGGTCGAGAAGCAACCCGGGCGAATAGCCTAGCCATTCCACGTTGAGCCGGGACTTGCCTCGCAGCATGGTTCTGCGGGCTAGCGGCGCTTTTGCCGCAGCCCCCTGAGCGCCAGCGAACACCTCCCGTCCGGGTCCGGTCCGAGCCCCTGTCGTAAAGCTGTGGTTGCGAAGCGACAGGAGCAGCTGAGCTGAGAGGAGGGACGACCAGGCAGACCAGTGCGGTGCTAGGCAACCAAGCAGATTCCGATGACAACAACAGAAAAAAAGCAGTGCACATTATTCCCCAGCCCTTGAGCAAATGCCTCATTAATTATTACCCGCAGTGAAAGTCCAGCCTTGGGAAGCTGGGAGGAGTTAGTTAACACTCACCAGAGCCCGTAAAGCTATAGAATGTCGGAGCTGAAAGAGCCCTTGCTGAGAGTAACTTCCAGGCTCCACGCCGATGACCCCAAATTCCACTAAAAGTTAAAAACATATTTTGCAGCTGCTTCGAAAGCCGCCAATGAGACAACAGGGACTCAAATAGTAAGGGACAGATGGGCCTCCCCGGAGGGCGGGCCTGCGCAACCCGAGAATGTATAAACGAAACGGGTGAGTAAGCCTGGGGTCAGGCTTGACAAACTTAGGTTGCCACTGGCTGCTAATAAGAGGACAGCCCTTACATGGTCAACTCCTGGAAAGGGCCGCTGACCACATATCTATTTTCTGCACCACATGGACACAAACACCACATTTGAAATAATGACTAAACCAGCAGCTTAGAGCTTTGTTAAGGACCATGGACTGTGCAGCAGGAAGCCGGTCTTTGAGTTCAAACTTAATAATCCCTCCCTGGGCCTCATGCAGACCCGTAGGGAGATAAGAACCAGCTAATACCAGAACTAGGGCAGAATTAGACTCTAGCTCTGAGGTTTGCAAATCTCTGGCCAGTTGGCCAGATATGTACAGCCAGCCTGCCTACCACCTGTTTTTCTGCAACCCATGAATTAAGAATGCTTTTTCCATTTTAAATTATTTTTAATGAAAAGAAAAATAATATATTGCTACATGTCAAAATTAGATGAAATTCAAATTTCACTGTCCATAAATAAAATTTTATTGACACTTAGAATGCTCATTCATTTGTATTGTCTATGGCTGCTTTCGTACCACTACACTGCAGTGATGGCGAACCTATGACACACGTGTCAGAGGTGACACGCGAACTCGTTTTTTTGGTTGATTTTTCTTTGTTAAATGGCATTTAAATATATAAAATAAATATCAAAAATATAAATCTTGCCGAAACCGGTTTGGCTCAGTGGATAGAGCGTCGGCCTGCGGACTGAAAGGTCCCAGGTTCGATTCTGGTCAAGGGCATGTACCTGGGTTGCGGGCACATCCCCAGTAGGAGATGTGCAGGAGGCGGCTGATCGATGTTTCTCTCTCATCGACGTTTCTAACTATCTCTCTCCCTTCCTCTCTGTAAAAAATCAATAAAATATATTTAAAAATATATATAAATCTTTGTTTTACTATGGTTGCAAATATCAAAAAATTTCTATATGTGACACGGTACCAGAGTTAAGTTAGGGTTTTTCAAAATGCTGATACGCCAAGCTCAAAAGGTTCGCCATCACTGTCTACAGCGACAGCGTTGAGTAGTTGTAACAGAGACTCTTACCATCCGCAAAGCCTAAAATGTTCACTATCTGGCTCTTGACAGGAAAAGTTTGCTGGCCCCTGCTCTAGCTAATCACCCAGTAATGAGTTCCTTGAACCCCTAGGTTCCATAGATATAGTAATGGGAGTTCTGAGAACAATTTTCAATATTTTTTAAAAAAACACCAACAAATGTATTTATTGTATGTATTTATTTGTTATAAGGAATCAACAGCTACTTAAAACATCGTCTTTCTTTGATGTCTGGCACTAATTACATCACATTGATGAGGTAATCCTGGTTACTGCATGAGAAAATACACATATTTTTACTAAACCAAAATAAACTATTGTATACTTGGCTGATTAAATATTTTAAAACAGAATGAACACAAGAGGAGGGGTCTTTGCTTTGTGTATCTCCAATGCTTAGAATAAAGGCCTGATATATATTTGTTAAATTAATGAATTGGATGCACAAGGGGGCAAAGAGCAAAAGGGTTATTTGTAGAAAAAAGATTGGAAACCACTGATGTAGTTGTATTAACTTGCTAGGTCTGCCTTAACGAATTACCATGAGTGGCTTAAGCAACAGAAATGTATTGTCACACAATTCTGGAGGCTACAAGTCCAAAATCAAGGGGTTGGCAGAGTTGATTCCTTCTGAGGATGGTGAGGGAAAATCTATTCAGTGCCTTTCACCTAGCTTCTAGTGGTTTATTTGCAATGTTTGGTGAACCCTGATTTGTAGAAGCATCCCCCTGATCTCTGCATTTATCATTCCAGGGCATTCTCCCTGTGTCTGTATCTGTGTCCAAATTTCTTCATTTTATAAGACACCAGTCATATTGGATCGGGAGCCTACCCTACTCCAGCATGCCCTCATTTTAATACTTAAATCTAAATAAGGTCACATTCTGAAGTACTGGGGTTAGGAGTCCAACATAGGAATTGGGGATGGGACACAATTTAGGAAACTGTGTCCTGGAAAGAGAAAGAATTTTTCAGAAGCCATACATTTACCTAGTGGGGCCTAGCTCATCTGCCTCCCTGGTCAGCACTTTTACATTTTCACATTAGAACCAGTCATAAATGAGATTTGACGTGGGACAAAATGCCTAGCTAATCTAATTTATATACTAATTGTTTTATTTAAATAAACTAAAACTCTCATACCTCTTTTTTCTTCCAGACTTCTACACTCTACCCACACTCACTATGAGCTCAATGAGGTGGAAATCAAACATTTAAGATAAACTAAGAAGCTGTAAAAGAAAGAAAGAAACTAGCCAGCACTTTGGCCCCTCAACAAAGTCCTGAAACCTCCTACCTGCACCAGCTGCTAAATAACTAAACGGCAGTGAAGCCCAAACAGAGCCGTTGCCATGGGAATGAAATGGCATGTCAGGCAACTGTAAGTTGTGCCTCCCTTATTCCTTTGAGAATCAGAAAATGATTCTCAGATGGAAAGAGCCTCAGTCTGGCCCTTTCATTTTAGTTGAGAAAACGAAAATCAAAGGATGGGAAGTAACTTTCCAAAATTCACTGGATCAGCAAAGGGATTAGAAAATTTAGAGTTCCAAACTCTCAGTCTAGTATTTTCTGCACTATAGTGTTTTAAATCTCAGTTCCATAACCTAATGATATGGAAAGTGTGCACCCAAAGTCAGTTTGGCAACACCCTCAATTTGCTTTACTGATTCCTAAAACCATGACACCCCTCCCCCAGCAGTCTCCAATTGGGGCTGGAAGTGGGGTAGGATGAAAACGGCCATGCTTAAAACACCAACTGGTACTTTCTGAAACTGATGCATGCACAACCTTGTGTATTAAAAGCTAAGCCATGAGGAAAATAGAAATAAGCTTCACTGTGCAATCAACAAAGCTCACGCTTAAAAAAATAAGAAAGACAGAAACTCTGACTTCTTTATAAAGGGGTGTGATGGGTTTTTTTCTTCTAAAAATAAATATAGATAAAATATGCCCCCTGGTGAAAAAAACAAACTTAGTTCCATTTCTAGAAAAAAAAATAACCAAGGAGTTTTGGTTGGGGGTTATTTTAGCAAAAACTTCTTTTGTTAGGACCCCCTGGGCAATGAAATGCAAGTTTTACTCAAGGAGAGAATTTTTCCTTGAATCCATTACCTCATCTTCATTGCCTCAGGCCACCACCATTACCCCCAGTCAGGTAAAAAGTCAGGTTCTTCTTTTTACAGAGACTATTCACAATCCCTACAACTTATTTACCATCACCATTTCACAGATAGAAAGACTGAGGCTAAGGAAAGTTTGCAAGTTGGGTGAAGACCTCACAGGGCCCCTTATCTCCTGACTCTCAACCATTTCCCTAAAATTTATATCAGGCTACTTTTCCCAGCTCCATCTGCAGGAGAGCTAAGTTAGCATCTTAGAGCTAGTGAGGGGACTTGCTAATGGAGTTAGGGAATGCTTGGGGTCCATGACTGAGGATTATTCTCACCCACCTGGTCTAGGAGTTAAGACTTGTAATGCACTAAGTAGGGCCCGTGGACCTTCTTGCAAACCAAAAATAGGTGCTGGGGAGCAGTGAACCAGGCCCTACCCCTGCCCAGCATGATGCAGGGTCAGCTTAGGGCAGGGGTGGGCAACTCCTGGCACGCGTGCCAAACATGACATGCCAGTAACTTTTGCTGGCACGTGAAACCCTCTCTTGTAATCTTCCATTTACAATTTTTTTTCTTAATATCGACTTTTTTATTTTTCAGATAAATTCAGTGTAGGTGCATCTTAGATAAATAAATAATTTTACATAACAAGTTATCCTAAAGACCATCGACATGGATTGACGAGAGAGGGGAAGAGCAATTTCTATGTCTCTGCCTTAACTCTCCCTGCCTTCCTAGATCTGACCAGTGTTTTGGTTTCAGCCTCAGACGCAACGGGTTTTCCTTGACAAGACAACCGCCTCACTTACTTATTCAAAATTTCACTCTATAAAAATGAAACCTTCTCTCTCGCTTTGCCCACCGGTACTAACGAAAGCGGAATAAATTTCTATGTTTCTCTCGGCAGCAAAAGCCCCACTGATAATATCAAACGGAGTCATAAAGTTTTCTGTCGAACTATCAGTGTTCATGTATACATTAAAAAATAAATGTATTTTTCATCATTATATACTGTGTTTTTGTCACTCGAATGAATTTTATTATTTCTTCAAGGTTCTTCACATACGTACACCTTAAGAGATATCAAGTAGGCATAACATGTTCTCAAAAAATTAGGGTTGGCATGCAAAAGAATTGAGTCAGAGATTTTGCTGGTTTGGACACGCACTCACAAAAAGGTTGCCCACCCCTGGCCTAGGGTCTCAAATCCTCTGGCACATCACAGGGTTTGTTACTGTCAGAAGAACCATGGCCCGTGATATGCAGCAGGGTCCCAAGGTGAAGGATCCTGGCCCCAATGCTTTCAGATGGGCTTGCCACCTCAGGCTGTGCTATGGGAAGGGGTACTGGGCAAGGAAACCCCAAGGACTGATGGGATTAGGATCATACCCCAAGATATACACACGCTGTGTTCAACAAGGGCTGGGGGCAGAGGTGACTTGCAACCAGTTGGTTGAGTGAAGAAGAGAGTGCCAGCACCCAGAAAGTAAAACTAGGGCTCCACCAAACCCCATGGTTCAGAAGCACTGCCCATCACCGAGCTTGCAGCTAGGCGCTGAGATCTCCAGGTCAGGTTTCCAGGTGATCTTTCTGTGAGCCAAGCAAGTGTGGTGGGGCAGGGACCAGGCTTGGGTGGGCTAAGGCCCCTGAGGTCTGAGCACAGGGTGAAATCTGAGTCTCCAACTGCTCCCAACCTACAGAAGCTGTCACCCCCAGCCTGAGCTGCACTACCAATACTGTATT